CAAGAGATAGTAAGACAGCAATCATCCTCCCCACAACCTCACAGCCACCACAACATGCACACAATCACACGCGCGCACGCGCACACACACACACACACACACACACACAATCTGAGCACATCCTTACAATGGATGCAAGCTGAGAAGATAGAAACAATAATGTTCATAAATTTAAAAATAGCTCATGAACCACAGGGCCCTGGAGAAAATCCAGTCAGATTCCACAGACTCATTCCAAAACTTTCCCAGCTTTCTAGGCTCCCTATCGGAGGCTTCGAAAGGAAATGTCTTCCCCTGGTCATCTTCAGATCTTCAGTTACCTTAAGTCCACAGCCTTGAGGCTCAGGGTTGGAATGGGACAAACATCAGAGAGTGGGGTCTCTTAAGGGATGGCCATCTAGATACCCTGTGAACACAGCACGACGTCTCCACTCCCAGAAGCTCCATCTGACCCTGATCCAAAGAGCAGTGAAGGATTCGGAAGAGCTTCCAATACTCCAAGTCCCACCTTGCAGATATCCATGGTAAGTAATGCTCCACAAATGCTAGGTCAAGGGAAGCCCACATTGGTAGCAACTTAACAAGACAGCACAGCAGAATCTGCCGTACATCACACCGGTAGAGTGCAAGGCTGCTCCTAGGCCAGCCTCCCAGCATATCGATGGACCAGCTCCCGTGTCATGCCACCTAGTCTTCGGCAAAGCTGCTCCATTTCCAGCATTCCTGGGCCAGGATTGATTCGGGAAGAAGCCTAGGGATGCATGGATCCCCTCCATAGAAGGAAGGCTAGTAGATGAGGCAGGACTGGATGCTATAGAAACAGAGCATGGGGGGCTGTAGGGGTTCCTAAGGATGAGAGCTCAGTTTCCAAAGAATCACCCCCCAGATAGATTTTCCCCTTACCACCATCTAATCCACTTTATTAGCATACCCAAAAAGGAAAGGGTCTTCTGTTCCTTCCTGGGCACAGCGAGAGTCAAGCCCAGTTTGACGTTCTCCAGTTGCCCTTTCAAGCCATCTCAGACCTCACAGAGCCGAGATTAGAACCAACAGGGCCACCAGGGACCGCTGGGTAGTGATGCATGGGTCAGAGGTCAGAGCCATCAGGAACTGCTGGGCAGTGATGCATAGGTCAAAGGTCAGAGCTGTGGGCACTAAACAAAAGATAGTCCCTCTTTTCCTTCTAGGTCATCCTGGGAAGATCCTTTAAAGAAAATACTTTGAGACTGGCCCCAGGAGCAACAGGAAGCATCCTGGAAACCACCTGGAAAGACTCCAGCCCACACATCTGGGCAATGAGAAAAGATCCCAAAAGATGCCTTGGATAAGTATCTTTGCTTGATCAGTGTAGAAACCGAGGGCCCGGGGGAGGACATGGCCCACTAGGAGGCCATTCAGGAGACCACATGCAGGTCTCCAGCTTGGAGTCCCACCCACTCCATCCACCACGTGCCTGTCATTCTGCATTTCCATCTCTGGGTTCTCTCCAGCACACCTAAAGCTTCAGCTGAGTCGAGAGCCAAGGCCCCTGCAGGAATCTGGGTGTGCTGTGACATCCCCCAATGCCTCTGCGAGACTCATCCTAGATGCAGGCTCTTTCTTCATTCCTGCCCTTCTTTCTCTGAGACGCCCTGTTGCATCTGCACCCTGGAAGGTGTGGTGAGTAAGACAGGAGCCAAGCGAAGATGGATTCAGGGATATCCCAGTTGGACAAAGGCGCTCACATAGCCTCATTACAAGCCAACACGAACTTCCTACCTGACAAACTGAGCCACAGTCCCAATCCCGAGGTGGTGTTGTCCACAGACCCCTGCTCTGCAGTCCCTGAAGTCCACAAACGCAAGGGGCTCATTTTCCTGGTCGGTCCTTTATTCCTCAGAGGCCTCTGCCTGGACCCTCAAAATGCCTAACAGCATTTAAACATCTGTTCTGATTCCACCACGTGCCGTCTACCACATAATTCTCCTGATCATGGCTGCCCAACTCCAGGAAAATAAGCAAACAAAAATCTTTCTGTTCCTTTGATGATGAAGGTATCAAAATATCCCATGGTCTTCCATCTCACACATGATTTCAAGCACCGGAGCCACAAGTCCTAAAGGCCACCCATCCTTCTTCAGAACGATACTGACAAGCACGCACAAGATCTTATCTGCTGAGTTATCCTAACTCAGACTTCTGAGTAGCTGGACTCTAAACACCTACATAGGCACCCTGAAGCCTGCTGGCTTTCTGGACGAGCCTGGTCCACTTGCGGGCACAGGGTCCTGAGTCTGGACTCAGGCTGCTCTGGACCAACTCTTCAAGGCTCTACTGTCCATCGTTCTGTTGTTACAAGTTGCTGGGTATAACGGAGCACAGCAAGCTCGGCTTACCATTTAGCCCAGAGAGGAGACCTTGTCTCTACATAAGAATTGGCATGCTCCCTTCTGTGGTGCTTTAGTAATTCCGTGGTCCCTTCAGCTTCCCCTCAACCCAATTCACCAAGAAGCTCAGAACTGATGCTCAGAGCTCTGCCAGTCCATACAGTCAAGGCTTTTGCCTGCTCCTTCCTTCTAGGGCCCTCGGTTGCCACCGCCAACCCCTCTACTGCAGTAGGCACAGGCCTATTTCAAATTCCTTCATCTGTTATATCTAATGTACACTTTTTTAAAAAGCAGACTCAAAAGTCTATTTCTTTGCAAGGCTTTCCCGGAGCCCTGTAGCTAGCTCCATGCTCAATCCCTTCTCTAAACACTGTGAGAGCTTGTTTTCCAAACCAAACAAAAGTGGAGCCTCCCAGTCCAGCTGCACACAGGCCCAACATCCCAGGGTCAAAAAAAAATATAAAGGCTGTCTTCCGTCCTATGTTCTCCTGAAGACTCTAGCCTCAGCCCTGCGACCTTCTGAAGAAAACAGCTTGAACCTGGTTCCTCTTCTAGCTTCTCAGCAACTGGGAGCTAAAAGACTGGAAATCTGGGTGACACCTATAGGCTTTCGGCACACACAGACACAGGCATGCACACATGCACATACGTATTGAGGCAGATCCCTCCCTCTTGAACCTCCTTTCTTCTGGATTCTGAGTTGCTACTTCCTGGTTTTCCGGTAGCCTCCTCTGCATCCCTGTCTTCTGCTATACTGTTTCTGTCCTTCTCTTACATATGCATGGGCATTTCCAGTAGAGACAGCCCTGAGTCCCACACCAACGGCCCCACTTACTCCCTGACACTGATGACGTCCCAGTCACCTCCAGCCTGGACGCCCTCGTGGGCTCCATCAACCCTTCTCATTACATGACTGGACTTTGATCATAACCAAGTCCTCAAGAACACCTATACTATCCCTTCTCTCCAGCTTCCTAGCTGAGCTCCAGAATCGCCAGGGCAAGCATCCCAGATGTTACCGTAATGCTCACTCTAGTCCCTGAGACACTGCATGTCCTACGCCACCCCCCCCAGAATAATCCCATCGACTCATGGTTGTTCAACTAGGAAATGAGTGATTGCCAAGCACATATCCATCCAATTAGTGTGTTGTTGAGTGTTCCCCAAGGCCACACTCTGAATTCAGGAAGAGCTACAGAATTATTCCCGCCTCCAGGAGACTTTCAGACAGACAGACAGTCTGGTCAAGTCTACTTACCATCTTCAGTGAAAAAAAAATCCACTTTTCTTCATCCCTACAGCCATTCCCTTAGTTCAAGGTGATAAGCCTGCTGTCACTTTAACAGTCAGAGTGGCAAGAAAGAGTACCACACAGTCCCAGGTATAAAGTGTGTGTGACCTGGGACAAGAGACTTCCTCAGTCTGTTGACAACAGTGCCTGCCTACCTCAGAGATTTTCTTCAGGGTCAATAGGTTACAAGCATGAAGCCTCTAGACAGTGTCCAGACACAGTAGACAGTTAAGACAATCACAACCTTCCCTTCTCCAGCGGTCCCCCAACACCCACCTCTGAAGTTCCCCATCAGCCCATGCTCTCCTTCAAGCTTCTCCTGACAGAGTCACCCCTGGGCCTTCTCTTTCTCAGCTCTCAAGGCTCCATCACCACAATGGTCCCCCTCAGGACTCCCAGACTTTGTCAGACGGCCCTCGCCTGGGCGCCCTTCTCTGCGAGCCCCAGCCACGCTCCACTGCATTGGGACCACATCTCCCTGCTGTGGAATGTGTGCCCTGTGGAGAGCAGTGTGTTCTCCTCTCCACGGGCAGGACTGAGCAGCGAGCGCTGCACGTGACAAGGCTCAATAAATCAATACTTCGCTGACAGGAAAAGCACAACAAATGTCAAAAAAAAAAGCGAATTTCAACTAGCTATAACCAAATTTTGAAAACCCATACCTAATAATTAGGCTATACTTATTAAAGATATCAGCTACATGCCAGGCTCTGTACTGAGGCTTGGACATGTAATCAAGTGCACACCAATGCCGGGATATTATTTATTCCTTGTTCACAGATGAAGTAAGGATAACACGGGAAATCTTAAGAACTGACTTAAAGCCACACAGGATTTGAACCCAGTGCAATCAGACTCCAGAACCCAGTCCTCACTGAACACTAGCTTGGCTTTGCTCTCAGTCCGCAGTGGTCTGGCTCTTAGATCGCATTCCTCTGCTGGGACATAGGCACGGGCTTCCCTCAAAAGTGGAGCAAAACCTCTGAAGGTCCCTTCCTCCTGTTAGAAATCCATGACTTGAAATTGTAAGTTCCTTGGGCAGTTAGTTCTGTCATCCCTTGAAGTACTCGGCATGAAGCGGCACACAGTGTAGACAAATAATTTACTCACATTGAATGGAAGAACTGGGTGATGGACAGATGAATGACTACCTTATAGATGGACGGATGAGTGGCTGAATGAATGACATGAATAGATAACTGATTTCACCTAGGACCAACCAGTTTCAGCCTTCTCAACACCTTCTGCCAGGTTCATTCATGCTCATAACTCAAGTGACCCTAAAATACGGCCCACCCACGCGAGCACCCCTAGTAAACAGCCAGAGCTTCAGAAGTTCTTACCGGCATAGGTGGTCTATACGGCACAGGGTACGCAGGTCCAGGCAGTTCGGCTTCTCCTTGTCCTCGTAGGAGCAGCTGGGCAGAATGGTCTGCCGGCGGCGCTCAGCGCATGCCTGGTCCTGACAGGAGCAGAAGAGCATGCGGTAGGTATACTCGCTGGGCACGCGGTCAAAGAACTGGCGCAGGGCCTTGTGGCACTTCCGGCGGTTGCAGCGTTCAGTGGACGAGATCTCGCGGTTGCAGATGGAGATGTAGGAGGAGCGAAGCTTCTTGCAGTTGTCGTTCAGGTTGCAGGCCTTGGCAGCATCCAGGCAGTGATTGCTCTTGGCACTGACCACCGGGTCTGCCCCTGTCCCTGGAGGAGGAAGGAGACCACTAGTCAGAGGGACATACAGTCATAGGGGGAGCAAATGTGTGAACACTCAAGATTGGTACCGTAGGCAGGCTCCTTGCCTCAGTTTCCTGGTCTTGGTATAAAGATGTTTTCCAAGAATGTATGGCTGTAGTGAATATTAAAGATATTTATACACAGGTGCCCAAAGTACAGGAGACAGTTCCAGGAAAGGGGTACACTGTAGGGGACAGTTCCAGGAAAGGGGTACACTGTACACGCAAGGAGTAGTTCAGAAGGAGACTCATCCCAAGGTCTTAGACTAACCCCAGCTTTAGAAGCTTGGAAGTGGTCATCATGGCCCTGTTTACTGGGGCAGGAAATAACGTGTCTGGCTCAAAGTCATGTAACTAGGGGCCCCTGCCAGTCCTCCTGCAGCACAGTTCCGTGGGACTTTGAAGAAGTGGCACCACTGGCATTTGGAGTGGGGAACACTCATCACTGAGTCCTGTCAGCAAGGATTAAGGGAACATCCTGGCTGCCCTCCTCACCCCTGCTCTTGCAACCACGGAAACAGTTCTTCTGTGTCCAGAAGGGTGTGGTTGCCACTGCCGCCTACAAGGGAGCACACAAGTCTGCTAAGTGTGAAGGGCAGACTGCCCCAGCTTCAATTCTGACACTGTTGGGTGTGCGACCAACCACAAGCCAGATGGTCTGGGTCTCTTGCCATAGTGTTGTGGCTTTCTGTTTAATACAGTGGGGGAGATGTCTGAGGTACACAGCAAGATTCCCAGGAATAGCAAGGCTACTCCATGATGGCTGTCCCAACCTCACAGATCTCCGTTGTACCAAGAGGATGCCTGGCACAGAAACAATCTGACTCTATCACCCAGAAAGTCCCTCTTGTCCAACTTGGAAACAGGCAGAGAGGGGCAGGACCCCCAATCTGCACATGCCCAACTGAGATCTTCTGGAACCAATCAGGTGAGCGGTCACCCAACCCAACCTGTGCTTTACAGGTAAAGAAAATGAATCCTGGGTGGGTACGGGACTGCCACAGCCATCCTGAACCTTGACAGAAAACTAGAGGCAGAAGCCAATTGCTCAGCACTATCATGTGCCTGGGGAATAATCAGCCTAGACCAAGTTCTTCCACACTGCCATGTTCCACTGCCTATGCGTCTGTCTATACAAGAACCTGCTGTAGAGTATGGAAGACTCAAAACTGGGCTGGTAGAAGCATGACCCCGCTACAGGTAAGTGTGGTGACTTGGCATTTGCATGTACAGTTCCTGGTCCTCTGATTGCTGGGTCATTAAATACCTATAAAGTCCTACCTCTGCTGGGTGCCATAATGGGCACTTAATACATTAAAGTATTAAGAAGTCCCAAATAAAGAGCTGACTACTCCAGCCAAGAAACCAAGAGGCAGAAACAGGACAAAACTAAGCCTTGTAAAACGGAGCCTGCCTTCAAGCCCTAGCTCAGCTACGCATCAGATCAAACAATTCTTTGCCTCAGTTTCCTTGTCTGCCAAACAGTACCTGCCACAAAGCATCTTTGTTAGCATATGAAAATACTCATAACTTTCTTTGCGTCAGGAATTTGTTCTGCCTTCAGGAATATTCCCATTGACTCTATGACTGGCTGTCTTTAATTTGGAGGGGTCTCCTAGTGGTCGTGTGGTTCCCTTAATGTCACCCCACTTTCTGTTCCCCTTTAAAGCAAAAACTAATTGTCTCCCCTGATTTGTGTCTGGCTCTCCTTGCATTTTCTCTCAGACCACACCAGCCTGGCAGCTCCGTCATCGTGGACAGGAACCCGCAGACCCAGCCTTTCTAGCTGGCATACCAACAACCCTGGGCCCAGCAGCTCACCCACTTCTGCCTGAAATCTCCTTCCTCGCTTGTCTTCACTCTGTCCTCCCGGATAACTCGCTGCTCGGGTTGCTTTGTTGGTTCTTGTCTGTGCTCCCCAGGGCCCCGCCCTCCTCTCCAGGCAGTTGGGGCTACCATTTTGTCTTAAGCCATTAAACACTGTTATTTAGCCTCCTTCCACATCCTGAGACCTCGCCTCTACTCAACAATATTACCTGAAAACCCAACACTCTTGTGTCAAACCCATCCCGCCCTCTGCCCCCATGGCTCAGTTAACAGTCACCCGCATCCTTCTGAAAACAGCCACACCAAAGCAGCTCAAGCCAAAGTCCTTACCCAGTCTCTGGCTCCTCTCTCCTTCACAACCACATCAAGAAAACCAGGAAATCCACCTTCAAAACCCAGAATACACCACCTCTCACTGCCTTACAATCACCTTCCTCCAACGTCATCACCATGCCCCGTCCCCCAACGTTCATAGTACCCCACAATGATCTTCTCTCATCACAGCAACTGGCGTAAATTCCAAGAACCTAAGACAAAAACCCTCCAGGGGTCCAGGACATCCACTGGCTTCACTCAGTGACTTCAGCATGAGCTACAAGGCTCTGTGTTTGCATTATCCAACATGGTAACCATTGACCATTGAACTGGAAAGGTTAGGAAACACATTCCAGATGCTAAAAGGTTATTAAGCTAAACAGCATCTCACTAATAATTTCTTTGCTTTAATCGCATGTTGGGATAATATTTTAGACATGAAGTATTAAACATCATATCAAAATTAATTTCACCTATCTTTTTTTTCCTTTTAATGTGACTGCTCAAACATTTAGAATTCCATGTGCATGGTGTGTTGCATTACTTTTAAGCAGCACTGTTCTGTTCTGTCTGGCCTTGCTGCCCCTGCTCCTCCCTTTTGGACATTCAACTTCAGTACTAGCTGCCTTGATCTTCCTGGGGCAGTCCAATGGTGGCCTGGTCTTGGGGCCTCTGTACTTGGTGTGCCCATGGCCTGCATGGCTCTCCTCTTCCCTCAATGCTCATAGAGCCATACTAATTAGTTAGCTCTGGGCTCTCTGCTCAAATGTTAGCTGATCTGTGAGTTCTTGCCTCCTGGCACATAGCACCCCCAGTACTGCATCTACCTCCCAAATGGTCTGTGTTTACACAGCACACATCAGCAGCAGCCACCATGTATATAAATAACTCATTTTTTATATCAAAATAAGGCAGAGGTCATGTTATCCTACATGGACAAAAAGTTTGATACATGAATACTCAGTAAGCATATTCCAAATAAAGAAAAGAATAAATGTTACAAGAACAATTTTGGTTTATACTAAATGCTTGCAAGTTTGTTTATATTTTGAATGAAGCAAAATTGACACAAACCAAGTAACCATGGACAAGATTACATTTATTCAAGTATTAATAGTGGCCTAGGCAAGAAGGGATCAGAGGCAGCAGCAGAAGAGACCAGAAGTGAATCGCTCACTTTAACACTGCTTTGCCAGGAGCAACCTTGTAACACGGGGAAGAGCAATGTCCCTCTCTTTGTAGCGAAATAAAGAGGAAGGGAGTATAGGCAACAGAAAATTATTTGGTGATAAAAGGAAATGAGCTGTCACACCATGAGAAACTCACGAAAGCTGCAGGACATACGATGCTGAGTACATGACATTTGGGAAGACAATGGAGATGGTAAAAAGATCAATGGCTATCAGAAGCTGGGAGAGGGAGGGGTGAGTAGGTAAAACATGGGGTATCTTCAAGGTGGTGAAATATTCTATATGATACTGTAATGGTCAGCAGGTAATATGCATGTATCCAAAGCCCAAGGAGTAAACCAAGAGCGGATCCTGATGCCAGCAGCTATAAGCTCTGGGTAGTAACAGTATATCACTGTTGTAACACAGAATTGTAACAAAGCAGCACCAAAGTAGGGTGTTAGCAGTAAAGAGGGTGAGGAAGCTTCTGTCTTCCTTCAATCAGGATGCGGGTGTGAAACTGCCCTAAAAACATTGGATCTCTTTCACATGGGAACTGGAGCAGGATATGATGGCTCACTTCTACAGTCCTAGCCCTCGGGAGGCTGAGGCAGGATGATTCATGAACACAAGGTCAAGCTCAGCTACATAGTGAGTTCCATGCCCTCATGGGTTGGGGAAGACCCTGTCTCCAAAAGGAAGAGAAGGAAAGAGAAAAGATAAGACAAAAGAAAAGAGCGGGGAAAAAACAGGTTGCACTGAAATTAGGGCAGAAAAGAATCAAGATTTATTTTCCTAATCTTTTTTTAATAAACAACTTTTAACTAAGGTGATGGCTCAGTAGGTGAAGCATGTCTGCTATGTAAACATAAGGACCTGAGTGTGGATGCCCAAGACCCACGTGGGAAGAAAGAAAGAGAGAGAGAGAGAGAGAGAGAGAGAGAGAGAGAGAGAGAGAGAGGAGGGAGAGAAGGAAGGAAGGAGGAAAAGAGAGAGAGAAAGAAAGAGGGAGAGAGAGGGAGAGAGAGGGAGGGAGGGAAGTAGGGAAGGAGGAAAAGAGAGAGAGAGAGCGCAAAAGCCGGGCTAGTGGTACATCTAAAACTCCAGTGTTGGGAGAATTAGAAAGCAGAGGATCCCTGAAGCACTCTGTCCAGCCAACCTAGCCGCCCAATAAGCTCCAGGGCCAAGGAAAGACCCTGCCTTTAAAAGGAAAAGTAGAGAAGTGATTGAGGAAGATTCTTGATGCTGATCTGGCCTTCACAGGGACAAGTGAGCACTCACACGCACACGGAAGAACATACACACCACACACACACACACACACATACAACACATACAAATTTAAATAGATTCATGCATGCATACACACGTTGGATATGCATACATATGCACTTCCCCAGCCACTAGGCAGCCACCTTGCTGAGCCAGTTGGAGACAGAAGAGCTGCCCATCTGTGCAAATGCTAATACTGAGCTCTCCTGGTTCAGGGTGCAGAGAGGAAAAGATCGGTCTGGAGTTGGGGGACAAGGACACAACGATTTCTTTGCTAGAACTGACAAAGTGAGTCTGGGGGCAGGGTAGAAAAAGGGGTCCTAGGCAGAGGGGGCAGTCAAACAATGGCTGAGAAGACCACAAAGAAAATCATGCCTACAATAGA